ACATAGTTCTATGTTTTCTAAGGAATTGAACGAAAGCGTGAAAAATAATCATCAATCTCTAGTTACTACCAAAAATAAGTTTGGACAAGCAATTACATAAACTTGAATACTAAGCTAACAATAAGTTAATGTGATCAAATAGTTACCATGCATTCTAATATGTCTAATCACATAATCATGAACCAATCATATAGAAAAACATAAAATCCCCAAACAAGAAAAGTTTAAAAATAAAATTCATAATCTTATAGTTATTTAATCAAAAGCTTTAACTTGATTTAACCAAGAATGCTTAAGAAATCTATGGCTATAATAGGAGTACACTAATAAAATATAGTTTGTTTACTCTAAGAGCTAAGACATTTGGGAATCAAAGAAAACTTGTGTAATCGTGGTCGAACGAGACTAATAACCAAGTTCAAATAAGACTAATAACCAAGTTCAAGATCACACTATGATAAGTTGATATGATAATTGAATTGTATGATAACCATGCTCATGAAAGGTAATTGTAGATTAATTAATCCTTCTAGAGAATTAGGTAATCATGGTGTCTTGTTATAGGCTAATTTTGATTTATGTATCAAGAGATAAAAGAGTTGTCTTTTATTCTCAACACATTACCAACATATCTAGAAGCCTATTGAATCACACACATAAGTTTAAGCATTTGCATAATAAAAGAGAAGCAAAGATGTTAGAAAATTTTCAAATTTGAAAGTTTCCTATTTTAAAAAAGTTTAAAAATGAAAAGTTTCTTAAAATGGAAAATTTTCTATTTTAGAAATCAGTTTCCTAATTTGAAAGTCAATTCTAAATTTAAAAATAAATAACCTAAAAGGAAATTAGTTTCTTAATTTAGGTTTAAGATTATTTTGAAACGTTGTTTCCTAATATGGGCCACCTAAAATTATCTAATCTAATTTATTTGGATAGCTCAAATTAATTAATTAGGCTAAAATAGTTTAGACTAATAGGTTTAATTAAAAACTTGAAAGATATTTTGATAGAAAGATAAACTTGAACCTTATTTGATAATGATTAATGTTTTGAAGGATAAGATCAAAAAGCCCACATACATAATAACTCATAATCCTTGGAGGATTAGGAAGAAACAATCTAGAGTCTTTTAGAGACTCATTGTTGCCTCTTCCTTATCCTTGGAGAGTAAGGAAGTCTCTCCTATATATATATATATATGAGAGGTGTGACAAGGAGAGTTTTTTTTAAAAGAGAAAATGGCACAAAGAAAAAAAAAGGCTAGGGCACACAACATTGAGCAAAAATAAAGAGAAAATAGTTTTCTCCTAAGAACTTTAGCACACGCCACCTTTCCTCTCTCTCTTTGGGTTGTTACAAAATTACCATGATTAGATTTCTAAAGTATAAACACTAAATAAGTCGGAAAATATGGAGTTAGCATTCTACTAATTTTGAGTGCTTCTTGTGTGGTGTATGGATAGCGTAGATTATCAATAGAGGTCGGATACTTAGACGACTCTTTTTTGCAAAGGTTTAAATATGTGTTATAAGAGGTAATTTTTTATTTAATGTTTTAATTCATGAATATATGGTTAGTTGATTCAACAACATGACATTAGGCGCTTTAAATGAAGAAAATTTTTGTTTTATTCCGCACCTCCATAGAATGCATGATCCTTTAATTTAGCATTGTTTCTTTTTAATATTTGCAAGATTTTTTTATTTTAAAATTTTAGTTTAGAATTTAGAAATTAAATTAAATATATCTTTATTTCTAAATTCTATTCTATTCTATTTGAGTGGAGTAATTTATTCTATGAATAATATTTGAATAATACTCTTTTAATCATATAATCAAATAAATGTTTTAATGACTTATATGTTCATATTTCAAAAGTAAAACGAATACAAATGTTGGAAATATAAATTTTCATTATATTAAAATAAAATAGAATAAAACATTAAATGTATTATATAAATCTATTAAATAAATATAATATGAATATATTAAATAGGTAATATGAATGGTCTTGAAAATTATAGAAGTTAAATCTTTACTCTACTTGTTATTTATATTTATTTGATTTGCTTTATTTTTTTACCATAAATTATGTTCTCTAAGAGGTACCAAATAACTCACTACTTAAATTAAGATTTTGAGACTCAAGAGACAACTAATATACCCAAATGAAACATGTACAATTCAAGAGCCCCATATGCCTCCATAAAGTTGGCATGTGGAGATACAAGCCTTTCTTTTCCCTTACAAGTACACATGGGAAAAATCTAGGTAGAAGACACTACGCTCTAGTTATGGATGCATCAACACCGATATAAGAAAAATACGTTACTAGAGGATCCCGTTAGATCTCGATCCGAAGGGCCGGACCATTTCCTACCAATCAAAAAGAATAGATGGCATATTTAATAAATAAAGATACGTTCCTAAAGCTATTTTTATCTAACCTACATTAATAATGATGTCATCATACTTGTTCAATAGTGACCTATTAACATCAATAATACTTATCTCTCCAATTTGTATTAAAGGCAATTGGCACCAAAAGAATGGACAGTTCCAATCCTTTTCTTTTCTTTTCTTTTCTTTTTTTTTTATGAAACTTTATGAGTCTCTTAATTATATAAATAACCAATAGACCTAAGGTTATGAGTTCTAGATCTCTTCACTTGATATTGTTGCTCATCTTTTTTCTCAAACTAATACTCCCCCTTCTTACACTAATTCGATCGTCGAAGGATCTTCTACCGAAACAAAAGAACTTGTTTTTTGCAAGTGTTTTGCTTGTCATGACCACTATCAATCAACTAACACCACCACCCTAGCAACGATCTATGAAAAAGTCATGAATTATTTGTCAAAAAATTATGTCAACTTAAAAGTTCAAACTCGTTAGGTAAAACCCTAAGAATTGTTTTATATTACTCTCTTACTCACTCTCTCAAATGAAAACTATTCAAATTTAAAACTTGCACGGACTCACGCTATCTTGTGCTTAATTTTTTTTAATTATTATTTATTAAAAGAGAGTGTAGAGTGGTAGGATTTAACTCTTGCCTATTCCGTTAATAAGGCTCGATGTAGTATTGAAAAACCATGTCAATACAAAAATTTAAATAGTTAGTCGAGATCTAAGATATATATATAAAGATATTTGAATTCGAAATTGTTTTCAAAAATGAAAAATATTAATATTAATTGGGTTATTTCTCATTTGGCATTATTTCGTAAATCGTAATGTTGTAATAAATAATGTTAAACATTTGATTGTCGGTATCATTAGTAAAATGCTAATATATTACATGCAAGTCAATTACTTATCTTTTTCCCTTTTGAATGAGGCATATAAAAGCTAGAGTTTGTACATTAAAGACTATATTGATTGGGTATTGTTCTAGCAACTTATGCCGCCTATTTGCCTTGCTAAATGCATTTGTGGGTTCTTATTTCTTAATGTATCGACGATGATATAAAGACATTACAATTATAATATATATAAGGAACTTAATGGCTTTACCTTTTTATCGTCCTCAATCAAATTGATACATATGCATGTCTGGGCTATGATTTTCGACATTGAGTTATGTCTAATTCTATCATAGAATCAAGAACTAGTCTTCACTTTTTGCTATATTGTTTATCTTATATGGGTTTTTAATGGTTTGGGACATTTAGAACTTTGTTTTATCACATTTCGTCGGGGCTTTTATCTTATGGTGACTAAAACTCCTGGACTTTTAAATATACAAACCCAAACTCGGTAGTCCATGATAACCCATCACTTTTCTTAAGAAAAAGAAGGGGATAGAGTTGACATAAAGTTTGCATTTACAACAATACATATGGCGAATATAATCAATCGATCCATGTTCGAACTCAAGTCCCAAGACAAACCCGGAAAGGCCCTTTTCTAGGCCTTCTTGTTGCACGCAATAAATGTGTCTTTATCTCTCTTTCTATCGCTTTTAACTAAATACGGACCTACTTAAGTTCACTTTTCTTTTTATTAATTTATTACATCTCATCTCATCCAATGGTTATCTATGTTTGTGCTATCAAAATCAAATCTTAACTCGAAACAATTAGCCTAATAGTTAATGAAGTGATACTTTTTCTTATTTTTTGAAGTTATATGAATGTAAGAGATGCCATTTGAAAATTATTTGACAAAAAAATTGATTTTAATTATGAGTTAACTGATTTGAAAATAATAATACTAATAAAATCTACTCATATTTGTCTCTCTTAATTTCAACTAAGTTATTCAAATCAAAATGAAATAAGAGTTGTTGGCAAAAAGAAAATAAAAGGAATAAATAAAAACATAATTCAAGGTGTAACTTTGATTAACACCTCGTAATTAATGGATGTTTTTTTGTTTATTTTTTTTAACATGAAGGATAAACATTGAGTGTATGAAATTTCTCTATTTCTTTCGAATGATTGATATAATTGCTAGATGTTTGAAATTGTTTTTTTTTAAAAAAAAACAATGGCAAACCACATGTGACTCTCTCTCTCTCTCTCTCTCCTCAGTTACAGCTCACAAATACAAATCAATCGTCATCTACTGCCCTCCATCATTTCTCACTTTTTTTTAAGTACAATATAGAAGACCATTAGTCCTGCTTTCGTTTTCTTGTCTCATCTTGCGTTCTCTACCCTCTTTCTCGTTAGCAACCAAACACAACTTACTTGTTCTGTAGTGTCTTGATAGGTTTGTTTGTAACCACTAGAAAGTCTTTCTGCTTCTTTCTTCTGTTTTTTAGTGGATTCTATTTCCACAACTTATCTTAGTTACTTTGTGTGTATTTGTTTTTGCCTTTTTTTGCTACTTGAGGTTAGTTTGGGGCTTTTCATTGATACTAATGTAGCTGCATTCTTGATTCCTTTGAAAAAAAAATTATTTGTTTTTTTCTTTAGGGCTCTTTCAGCTGTTGAAGTGTGGAGCAGAAAGTTCTATTTTTGAGCAAAAATGTTTGGTTTCTCTAAAAGACGCATGAAACTTGGCAGGTGGGTTCTTTTCATTTCAGCTCTTAATTTAAGACTTGTAGAAAACGATAGATTTCAATTGGGACTTTAAGTTATATTATTTATGATCTGTCTCTAAGTTTAGATGCCAATGATGTGTTACTTTCAGGGTCAAGAAGGTGCAACTCTCTGATTCTACACCAGGGATTAGAAGTCCTATTAGACCCCCAAAGCGAATTATTAGTAATAATAATGCCCATGTAAGATTCTTAATTTGTGTTTTTGTGGATTGGGATTAATGGGATTTTGTGCACTGTGGTTAGATGTTAGAATTTTGGGTGCAGAGTGAAGGTGTTGCACTTACAACTAGTAAGTCTGGTGAGCTTGATTATCATTGCTCCTCTACTGTTCAGCCGGAGATTAGTAGCTCTACATCAGGGAATGCTGAGAACTGGATGGTGTTGTCTATTTCCGGGGACAAACCCACTCCTCGTTTCAATGTAAAGTTTATTTAATGGCTTATTTTATTTTATTTTATTGTTTTCTTAGTTGAAGTGTTTCATAGATTGCATTGATAATTTTCTTCCTTGTTGTGTTCTGTTGTAAGTTGGAACTTTACTTTTTTTTTTTTTTTTTTGGCTTGAATAGCATGCAGCAACCGTTATTGGAAACAAGATGATAGTGGTTGGTGGAGAGTCTGGAAGTGGATTGTTAGATGATGTACAGGTAGAGAAAATGTTTTCTTGCACGCCATTGGTTTTTATTGGAGTTAAACTGCGTTCAGAGTTTCTTTAATAAATGGGACACGTCATTTACATTCCACGAAAAAAGGTGTCACCAGGCAATCTAGGCTGTGATCATTTGAGAATATGTCATTTGAGAATTTCTTGAACTTAAAGGAAGTTGCAAACTTTAGTATGGAGGCTGATATGCATTTTCTCCGTCTCTGTTCAGGTGCTTAAATTTGATCAATTCACCTGGACTACAATTTCATCAAAGCTTTACTTGTCACCCAGCAGTTTGCCATTGAAGATCCCTGCATGCAGAGGCCACTGTCTGGTATTGTCTTCTAGCACTCTTCAACTGCATTTGTAGTGCATTGCATCCTTTAATGTTGAACCATACTGTTTCTTTATTTTACTTGGCATAGGATGATTTTCCAGTTAAAGATATTTGATGGCTCATTAGGGTGCAAATTGTTTTAAAAAGTAACGGAAACAATAATTTATCACAGAATGTACGTGTTGACTACAGTTAGCTAGGTGTAAACTTACTGGTGTCCAGCGATGAAAATTTAAGCGATGCCATGTTGTTCGCCGAGTCCATAAGATTGATGGATAAGACAATAGCTGAAATCCTACTGAGAGTGGACGAAACAAACAACATATTTTTCCAAGCTTTCCAGTATGGTATAATTATTTAAAAAAAATTACACAGAAAAATCACAGATTCATTGAGTGAGAGTGGAATCAAGTTTATTATTTCCTCTTGCTTGGTGCATATGTTACTTGAGCTGTATGTGCCATGTGTGTTGTTTTTGCTCCATAATAAAGAACTTCGAGTAGCTGCTTATGCATTCCTGTACTGTTGTTATGCATAAGTTTTTCTCCTTGTGGAGCTTCAAAAGCTACTAGTGTCTGAAGTTTCTTTCTTCTGATGGTTTGCCTTAGGTTTCTTGGGGAAAGAAGGCACTTCTTATTGGAGGAAAAACTGATCCTGCAAGTGACCGAATTTCTGGTTGCATTTCTGTGTTTTACCACAACCTATGCTGTCGTTACTTCATTTACATGCATAGTCTGGAATTAAACTAATGTGTTTTTTGCTTTTGCAGTGTGGGCATTTGACACAGAAACAGAGTGTTGGTCTGTTGTTGAAGCAAAGGGAGACATACCGGTACCCTTGCATTTTATATCTAGTCCTTTTTATCAAAGATTTGTTACTGGAAATTCATTACAAGTCCTAACATGTTATCCCCTCATTTATTTCTTCAATGTATCTATCTGACATTGCAGTTTGTTGAAAATCTGAACCTAAATGAGGAGCAAGTGGAACTCTAAACAAGCTGGCATATGCTTTCCTAACCAAAAATTGTGTATTCGTTTTGCAGATTACCCGCAGTGGTCATACAGTGGTCCGAGCAAGCTCTGTTTTAATTTTATTTGGGGGTGAAGATGCCAAAAGGAAGAAATTAAATGATCTGCACATGTTTGATCTCAAGTCTTTCACGTGGCTCCCTCTGCATTGCACGTGAGTTGGTTTTGGTGCTCTCTACACCAATCTATACAATATAGGTATTCATAGGGTTTCAATAGGCATTGCTTTGTCTGCACAGAGGAACCGGACCATCTCCAAGATCCAACCATGTAGCAGCTCTTTATGATGACAAAATTCTACTTATATTTGGAGGAACATCCAAGTCCCGGACGCTGAATGACTTGTATTCACTTGATTTTGAAACGGTGGGTAAATTCTTTCTTTGTTACATCATGTTGCTTATAGCAGACTAAACATATAGATTTCATATTACATTTTGATATGTAAAATCTTTTTCCTCAGATGGTATGGTCGAGAACAAAGGTACGAGGGTTCCATCCATCACCCAGAGCTGGGTGTTGTGGAGTTTTATGCGGAACTAAATGGTACATAGCTGGAGGAGGAACTAGAAAAAAACGTATGCCTCATAGCTAAAGAACAGATGCTCCCATCATTTGACCTGTTTCTGATAAGTTGCAGCGTTATATGGATCTGGACATGTGCATTAGAGTTACATGCATAATCTCTAAGGTTCTCGTAATTGTGGAACTTCAAAGGGAGAAGCATGTTTTATTCAACCATACCAGAGTTTTTGGTTGGGTTAATAGTGATTGGAGTCACTGTTATAGGATAAATTAGCTTTTATGCCATGTGTTCTAGCTCACAGTATTAGAATTTTATGTATCTAACTGCACTGGATTTTGGTGTTTATACTCTAAACTCATCAGCATGCTTGCATTGTTTATTTAAGTTCTTTTTCTGTGTTTCTCTCAACAAAAAAGTCAAGTAGCTTTCATGGGTATTCTTTATATGCTGCTGAATCCTGTTTCTTTATTATATCTACAGGGCACTCAGAAACTTTGATTTTTGATATTTTGAAAGTGGAGTGGTCTGTGGCATTTGCATCCACCCCATCTTCTATCACCACCAACAAGGTGAGCCATGTGGATTTTACTGCTTCGCTAATGGTATATGGCTGTTCAATAGAGTGGATCCGTAAGAAGACTGATCCTTGAACTTTTATTGGTTGGCAAAGAACTCACAAAGATGTGCATTCAATGCTCCTCCACCTCTTGAGGGGGTTAACTACAGCATCTAGACTATAAGAATACCAATTGCTTGGTTATAAGTAATCTGTGCTGGATAACCATACAATTGCCTTGCCTCATTTGAAAATGTTTTAAATATGTATCTATCACCAGCCTCAACCAATTGGATGCTATGTATGCATATGCATTTCCCATCGTGTGTGTGAATAAATTCGTATTGTTAATTCCCTTGAAGCAAGAAAAAGGAGAGAAAAAGGTAATAAACTCATAACGTTAATTCCCTTGAAGGAAGGAAAAGGAGAGAAAAAGGTAAGCATGAGCAATGAATGATGCACACAAGGAAATCATTGATGCATAGATACTTTAAAGATGCAGACTATAAGTCCAAGGTAATTTCAATCAAGGCTAGGTAGGTTTCTGAGTTTATTATCGCACTATGGGTTGGTGGATTTTCTGAGCTTTATTATCATTCCTTGATGTGTATTGGAAAAATATTGTTTACTGTTATTTCCTTAATGTTGGCAAAAAAAATTCATCCTGAGTCATGATAGGAAATGTGGTAACACAAGATTCAGAATCTTATATTCATATTGCTTCAAAATATGTTGGGTTAAAGACACTCTTTTTGGTATGGTTTCAATTGTTTTTTAATATCATGGGATTTGTTGTTTTCTATATCCTTTAGAGATTGAGCAAGAGAAGCAACTTTTGCATTTTCATTTTTCTTCTTATTATAGGTTCTGTCTAAAATATTATTTCACTTTCAGGGATTTAGCCTGGTATTTGTGCAGCACAAGGACAAGGATTTCCTTGTTGCTTTCGGTGGAAGCAAAAAGGAGCCATCAAATCAGGTTAGAGACTGGAATGTCATATTTGCTATGGAATCGTTTCTTCTTTTGGTGTTGGCTGGAGATTGTAGTCAATTCAGCTGAACTACTAACTTTGCTTCATGTTTCATTAAAGGTTGAAGTAATGGGCATTGAGAAGAATGAATCATCCATGGGTTGTCGTTCTGCTCCTAGTAAAGGCCCAGGACATTTTCTTTTTGAAAAGCGCTCATCATCTACAGAGTTGACTGATCAACTTGGTACTGGTTCTTCTCAGCGTTCAGTTGATTCCATTACAAGACAAAATTTGGTTTCTGCAATTGAACAACATGGTTCCAGTAGGAAATCTTTGTCAGAGTCGTTGCTTGTTGATCAAAATTCTGCTACCGGAAATGTCTCCCTTCACAAGGACTTTCATCATGAGGAAGAAAAAATCACGGCTGCTAAGACAGCAAAAAACTTAGAAGATAGAAATTCTTCCTCACCAGTAAGCTGATATTTCTCACCAATTAGCTGTCTTTGCTACTATTTTTAACCTCTAACTATTTATGAATGCAAACAACTATGCCAAAGTCAGTTTTTGATGTTCTTCCTACTTGATGACAATTAAATTTCATTGTCTTGGTTATATTTACTTTGAAAAATCAAGAAATTACTGTTAGACTGTGGAAGGGTATAAGTATCTTCAAATCACCCATGGGGAAGAAAGAGAGTAAAAACTGTTTTCATTCCTTTTCTCTGTGATATTGTCTTGATGGTAAGATTGCAAGGGATGCTTATATTTTCCATTAACACAAGCATTGTACTGATTTCAGGCTACTGAACATCAAAGAAATCATTCAGATATGTCAGTCCAGCCAAGCAATCCTGTTGGTAAAGTTAATTCAGAGGATATGCCTTGCATCTATGAAATGGAAACTTCTGACTCCCACAACGAAGGAATTGGAAACCTTTCAGTTGATAATGAGGACAAATTATTACCAGAGAGTGATTGTACAACTGGAAAGGCTCATGCAAGTATATATCAATTGTATGAAACAAAAATAGGTGCTTTAATAAGAAGGAACGGAATACTTGAAGGACAACTGGCAGCTGCACTGGGAGGTCGCGAAGCAGCAGAGAAAAATCTATCCTCCGTTCTGAAGAGCAGACAAGAGATGGAGAAAAAGTTGGTAGACACAGGGAGGGAGGTGGAGCTGTTGAAAGAAAAGTTGGCTGGTGTAGAGCTAGCTCAAGAAGAAGCCAACAGCTTATCAAATATTGTCCATTCTGACAACGTAAGGCTTGAGCATGATGTGGCTTTCCTGAAGGCTGTTTTGGATGATACTCAGAAGGTATTGTACTTATACTAGTTTTGTCAGAGGCCATTTAATGATGATTGTTTTTTTTTCAGTCATTTATACTGAATTGACTATTTGTCATAGGAGTTGCATTCAACTCGGGGAGTCCTTGCAGGGGAAAGGGCAAGAGCATTCCAACTACAGGTACTAAATCTAAACTAAATACTACGTATGTGGTGGGTGAATGGAAGGATTACAGATTAATTCTTCCTGATGTTTCACAGTCGAAATTCATGATCTTTCTATTTTGAATTGCTGTTCTGTCTTATTGGTTAATAAGTGCATCGAACCCAACAAATCTGGCAAAAACAATTTATGGCTTGTTGAGTTACCAGTTTAGCACTGATGCCCATGTCTGAGTAGTGAATAATATGGTTTTAATATGTAACGGCCGTTATATAACAGTAACGGAACATCTCGTTACCATTATTCAGCTGTTACTGTTATTTGGCATTATACATACTCCAACGCAGTTTCACATATATAACGGCAAATAATGACATTATTTTTATATAATGCCATTCTTTGCCATTATATAATGGTGTTATACATTACAAAAACTTAAAATTCTGCTATAATCAATTACCAACTGCAAAATGAAAAAAGAAAAAAAGAAAAATAAACAAACGAGACTTACAGGAAAGGTTGGTTGAAAATCAGAGAGAAAGAAAGTTGAAGAAAGGAAATCTTGGTTGAGAAAGAGAGAGAGAAAGCAGGATGAAGAAAGGAAAACCTGGTTGAGAATTTGAAAAGAAGAGAAGATGTGAGTTAAACAGAAGCAAAGAGAGACAGATAGAGAAAGAAAGAGATAGACCCATGTGATATTTGCAGAGATGCATCTTTAATTGAATATGTTATAAATTAGTCTCTTTAATTTGGAGAAAAAATAAGTTAGTCCTTGTTTTAAAAAATAAATTATTTAGTCCATTTTAAGTTATTTTCTAATTTGTTTAAAAAAATTATATCATGAAAAAATTGATGAAAAAAATATTTTGTAAAATAAAATAATATTACATTAAATATAGTAAACACATAAAAAAAATTAAATAATTAATTTTTGAATAAAAAGACTAATTAATTCAATTATTAAAACTAAAGGGATTAATGTGTAATTTTGTCCCTATTATTCAACCAAACTTCAAGCTGCGGCACAAAATTCAAAGACCTACTAGAATGTAGGCTTTAAGTGAGTAAAATATAAATTAGTCCCTTTAGGTTGTAAAAATAAACTAATTAGTTTATATTGTTTCAAAAACCAATTATTTAATCATTTCTATCTATAAACATTTTGTAAAATAAAATAATATTACATTAAACATGGTCACCACTAATTAAAAGATTAAATAATTAATTTATTATTTTTTGTGTGATATTAATTTATTAGAAATGTTATTAATTTTTTTATAATAAATTCAACTATTTTTATATAATATTAAACTATTAAAGATGTCATTAGTTATTAGTATATTTAAATTAGTAAAATTGTTAAAAATATATGAATTAGAATAAATTTATTTACAGCTTGTTAATGTATTCATGACATCGATTGCCGTGACCATTATTTTAATATCATGATAAGCCGCGATTGCGATTCATTTGAAACTATGGTGAGTACTCTGGATTGAATACTCTCCTTTTCACTTTTACCTGGAGAGAATACTCCCAAGTTCTCCTTCTACCTGGGGATAAATTGTCACATATGCATAAAAATATTCCAGGCTGCCACCCTTATCTTTTATTGAATGGATAGAGGTCCAGTTATACCAATCAACTATCCTTCCTGGTAATACATGTGATTCTTCTTCATATTTCAGATGAAATCTTTATGTTTGACCTTTGAAACATCACTAAATTCATGGACGACACATCATTGCTGGCAATAGAAATGCCAATGCAGTCTTGTAATTTGTATCTATCACAACCTGAAACAACTGCAATGGATCTTTTTAAATGAGATTATTTGTGCTTTAAGATCTTCCTCCTATAATTTCTCACTGTACTGGATTTATCATGCTGCCATGCAGGTTGAAGTTTTTCATCTCAAACAAAGATTGCAATCTCTGGAAAACCGAACACCAACCCCAAGAAAGCCGTTCCATGTGCCGTGAGGAGAATAATTGTGCAAGGCAGAGGGCGTAGCATGTAAGAACCAATTGGATAACTGCCATTCAGCTGATCAACCTCTACCAAACAGTTGACCACCCCAAAGGTCTTTTATACTAGTCTGTGTCGTGCTGTGCATGGGATGGAGAATCGTTTTTTGCTGCAATATCACCTTGTAAATATATGAAACAAAGGTTACATCCATGCTTCTTCAGTTAGTTACTATTTCTTGTCCTTCTAAAAATCTGGAGAAAAATGCTTGCTAGTGTCCAGAATATTTTATGTGCAATGGCCCTTTAGAGGGTGGAGGTGTAAATTTCAAATCTTGTTGTTTTGGGTCTAGGACTAGGAAAATAACTTCAACCAATAAAGGATGGTCATTTGAAGAGGTTATAACTTGATTTGGCCACATTAAAAATGATTTAGGAAAAGGAAATTGATTCTTGTTAAACCCAGAACTACAAGGCCGGCTTTTAGCAGATCAATGCGATATCTAGTATGGACATACTTTGTAACATGTTCAACAACATTTCTAATTATGTACCCGATTTCTATTTAAAAAAAAAATGCCACTACTCAACGTTCATACACTCACCATCTGCACATAGAAGTCCCAAAACCATAGTAGGCTTGTAGCTCAACAGGAACTTGCATCTGCAACATTCTTCTAAGAGGATTTAGGTTAGAGTGAAGCGTCTCTTTTCTAGCAGAAAAAGGAAATGTTAACTTCATGCAGATGTCTTTCTCTGACCATTTGCAGATTGCCATCTATGGATGTTTTAACTGCAGCCCGAAAACATTGGTAGCAGATTAAATCAAAATTACTGGTCTCAATCTTTTATCAGATACAAACACCATAAAAAGCAAGCATAACATGATAGAAAGTAAACCAAACAAGCTGACATATGGTAGCAACCATATAATCAGCAGCATTGATGTTTCCAATCATCGCACACTCTCCAAGGGTTTGACTATGAGATGGCTGAGCATATGTCTCATTCTTTTACATCTCACTAGATAGTTGACTACCATTTCTGTTACGTATAGTACCTCATTTAGTGTTAACTTTGTGTTAATTTATTAGGTGTAATAAGTAATAAACACATGTATACGGATAGAATTAGCTGTTATTCATAATTGCCATGTGTACTAGTTAGCTGCAATTGCCTTGCATGGCAGTGAGTAATTTGTTAATCAGTTAACATAATTGGTTGTTTTTTAAGTCTAGTTTGCACTATATAAGTAGCGAGTGAATTATCCAAAGAGGCAAGCTTTGTAACAATTGATTCTCTATTGAATACAATAGACAGAATCTTCTCTCTCTATTTTCTTTCTACTCATCTTCTTCTCCCATTTCTATGGTTCTTGTTAAGGAATCCATAACTTGCTTGGTTTTGTGAACAATTCAGCACAAAATCATGTTGGACAATCATCAATTGAAAACATTAGAAGAAACTAATAGGAGATAGGAAGAACGGATTCAAGGAATTCAAGAAAATGTGGAATTAATAAAGAAACAGATGCAAGATCATGTGTAAAGACGCAACTTCAGCTTGAAGCTTTAATAGCGACAATCAAGTAAACCTTGGTAGATAAAAAGATCATCTCCAAGTTCTTCACAAGTAGTCAATCATGCTAACAAGTCTGCGCATCAACCACGTCATGGTGAGTCCATTCTTTCACTTGAACTCATGAAGTCTAGTTATCATGCATCTATGCTGACGGTTGATTAGCAAATGTTTGGTGGGGAGAATCCAAGAGGTTGGATCCTTAAATGTAAAAAATAAACTTTAATCCAACTCATCAATGGGTGGAGATTGCATCAATGTATTTGAAAGAAAAAGCTAAGATACGGTTTAGAGGATTTGTTGTTATTCGTCACTTGGGTAATCTGGAAGAGTTTGTGAGGGAGATTTGTAGGAGGTTTGGCAATAGAGATGACGTGGTGGAAGAATTTAACTAGCTCAACTAAGACAAAGAGGTGGAGTATTATATAGAAAAGTTTGAGGAATTGAAGTCTCTAATATCTATAGTGAACTCTCAATTACTAGAATCCTATTTTCTTTCTAGTTTCATTAGTGGACTCAAAAAGGATATTAAACTTATGCTCAATATTTTGAAGCCTACAAATCTTTTTCAAGCTTTTGAACAAGCTAAATCACAAGAGGAATCTATTACTCGCATTGACCAACAAATCAAAGAACCTTACTTAACATCTTCATGTGTATAATACTTACAACAATGCTCGTCCTTATTGTAATAAACCTTATACCTTTATTAACAAACCCGATCAAAATAACTACAATAAACCAACCAATACTACCTTACTAAATAGCCAACATGACTCATTACAAGATCAAAAAAGGAGGCTAGGGTTTAGGTGTGGTGATAAGTATTCTCTTGGACATCAATGTACTAAGAAATCAAAATATTTGTTAGAAGGAGTTGCTAAATGAGAAGAGTTTATTGATGTGGAGGAAGGCATGGAGAAATTATGGGATAATATAATTAATGAAGAGTTAGGGCTATCGTTACATGCTTTAGTCGCTAAATATGCAAACAACACTATTAAAATTAAAAAAAGTTGTAAGCATAAAGAGATTACTATCTTAATTTATAGTGGTAGTACTCCAAGCTTCATCAATTCTCAATTAGTGAATGAAATTAGAGCTACAATGGAAAGAAATACTACTCTAACTATTATAGTAGCTAATAAGGATATTTGAAGTGTTTAGCAAAAAGTCTTGACTTGGCTTGGTTTATGCAAAAGTACAAATTTAAAGCTAACTTAAGGGTGTTGAAGTTGGATGGTTGTGACACGATGTCGTGGATGGATTGGTTGAGAGTACATTCACCTATCCTATTTGACTTCATTAATATGAAGTTATCCTTTAAGAAGAACAATATAATGATTTAATTAAAAGGAATTACAAAAGATGTCGGATTATAATAAATAACAGACAAAGAAGGTGTACAAAACCTCGAGGGAAGCAATGGGCGGATTTGTAAGAAAAATGTTCTTTATTATAGTTACCGAAGATGCAAAGGAAGGGATACGAAACAAGAAGATACAAGCCTTGTTAATTGAATACGAGGGAGTATTTATTAAACCAAAACAATTACCATTGGTAAGAAGGTTTGATCACTTGGATCAATTTGGATATAGAAGCAAAGCTAGTCAATATCAAACGCTATCAAAGTTCCTTTGTACATAAGGGTCAAATTGAGAAGTTAGTA